AATGCATGAAAAGTTAAAAAAACACACTTGGTTCGTTAGTAAATGTTTGTATTTTTCTTACCTTCTGTACAAATAATTTTATTTCTTTTCGGCTACAAGCTGCTTGATTTTGTTTTGAAACTACTTAAAATTTTTGTCAAACCTACAATTTATGTACCAATAATTAATTACTATTTTTAATTGTTCGAAACGAAAAAAAAACAATTCTGAATAACTGAACTAATTTAATTATTTTAGCAAATGTTCATGCGTTTTCCCGAGCATGTATATATATATTTTTTTAAACTAAACTGTATGTACTCTGGGCATCGTGCCGGGGTTGTTAAAATGTTCTGCAGCATTGAAGATTATTTCCAGTAACTCGGGGAGTTACTAAAAAGAGAGATTTACTTTAAAAAATCTGGCGACGTTAAATCGGGTGCTCTTGATGGTCATCCAGGATGCATCGTTGGATGTGATTMATTTAAAAAAWTCACGTGTGCATAAATTACATTTCGGCACGTTGTAAAGAAAGATCTTCYAATAAACCAWTAACATATTATGTTATATGCTTTCATTTYATGTGTCTGATTATTATTTTACTGCATTTTGCTATTAAACTTTTATCAGTTTTCACCGCAGATTTGAATGAAGCGGTAGGAATCAAACTCAATGGTTCACGTCTTTGAAAAACGTTCAACCAACACTTTGCCTATCTAATGTAAGGATGTTTTGATGTAATGTTGATGTATCAAAAAGATCCACGTGGATTCATATATTCTATTCTAAGCAGATAGGAAATAACAAACTGATGTCCCTATCCCTGAAATGTGAATTCTCAATAAGGAAAAGAATTAAATAATGGTGACTTACTCAAGTTAGAAGTAAAAAATAATTTACTTGTACGTGCCCTTAGTTTTCTGTTGCGGGCACGCAGAATTTATTTTCGACAAATTTTGTTAATTTGTTAATCAAAACACCATATTTTCAGTATTTCATAAGGGTCTCATGTTTTAGTAATAAGATTTACTTTTACATGCCCTTACTTTTCTGCTGGGGGCACACAAAATTTATATTCAACCAATTTGGAATATACCGTAGATATACATTCATGTATATTACCGGAATATTTGTTTTGAACATACTAGGTATATTCACC